TTGATGCTATTGGTTATGACAAATTTAATGAGGAGGGAGGAGAGTCAGCTGGAATGAGAAGTCTTCCCCTGAGGAGTGTCTGGTACCCAAGCTTGACCCCTTTTTCCCTTGGAAGGGACAATTCAGCCCTTAGCCCGCAACATATGGCACGTTGGGGCTGCAGGACTGTGCTCGTAGAGACACAATGCTCTTTGTACCCTAAAATTTCAGTTTAAATGTCACTTCCTGGTTTTCCCATTGTTTCTCAGATTGGAAAAGTCTGCGTTTGTGAGGTGGATGGTCAATCTCCATGGTTAAGGAGGACCCAGAGGATGTCCTCCTGCCTGTGCCAGATGGCTCCTTAGCCATCAGAGCTGCTTCATTTCCCAGCAATGAGCCTTCCAGCTGGTGGTGGCAGGAGAGGTGAAAGGAAACCAATGTCTGTGTTCAAGAAGTTCCAGCAGGTTCTGGTTTTTGAGTTTTGTTTTCTTTTGTTTTTTGAATAAAGATGTTTCTCGTGGTGGTGTCTCTGAATTGGCTCAGGCTGGATGCTTCTCAGGAGCTGGCATTTGATTTCCTGCAGGAGAAGCTGGACTGAGTTAGTGGGGAAAAAAATAGGGAAGTCTGGAAGCAGAGGGATTATTATGTGTCTTCTTGTTTTATGGTGGATCCTTGTATTGCCTTTCTAGAAAGTTAGGTAGTTGAGGGGATGTGGAAGCAGACAAAAATGTGTTTTTATTTGCTTTCTGCTCTCCTCTCGTGATGAAGCCTTTCCTCCATGCATTGAAGAAAGGGGAGTAGGGTTATTTATTCAGACAGAAGGCTAAGCTAGAAGGAAGCTTACCCACATTTCAGCTTATAGAGGAACAGGAAGATGTTCATCCTGTCTGATGGAGGTTTTTTTGAGGTGGTGGGAGTACTTTACCCATAATCTTAAATACGTGTTGTCATTTAAATGATTGTGGAAGGTATCCTAATGTGGTGTATGGACTGGCTGCTGGGACTGGGCTAGCGAAGCTGGGTCAGGCTGGCAGTGGGAGAGTGAAGTACAGTGCCTCATTCCTCCTGCCTTCTTACCCTCCCATGAACACCTTTGATTTCCTTGCATGTCATGTTGGCTTTTAATGAATTTCAAAATACTGCCTGTTATTATTTTAGGCTAATTTCTTCAGCATCTCGGGCATCCTGGCTTGCGGGAAGAACACTGGAACGCGTTATATTTCATTATGTACTGTATCCTTGCCGGTGTGCAGATGCAGAATCCACTGCTGGCACCAAGTGGCTGTGGGTGGAAGCTGCTCTGGAGGTGTTGGACTCACTGGCTGTCTGTGGTGCGTGCATAGGTTTTTGGGGCTGCAGTTCAGAGGGGGGCAGGACCCCCCCCCGTTCCCTCCCCAGTTTCCCTGATGGTGGCTATTCATGCATGGGAGCTGCTCCGTGCCGGCTGGTACTGTGTGATGCCAGCTGAGCGATTGCCTTGGCTGTGCTTTTCCTTTCTTTAAGATATATGAAAGGAAAAAAGGTTGTCAGAGGACTGGTTTGCTCGTAATAAATCTCAGTGTGGGATTTGGGTGCTTGGTTTCTTTTCCCCCCGAGTGACTGGAAAAATAATCTGTACAGTAACATCACATGCGTGATGGCAAAGGATCGTGGTTACTTGGGAAAGGATGCTATCTTTCCTGCCTTTTCAAATATCTAGTGGATTTTAACACTTAAGACTGTTCGTAGACTGTGTTTTGAGTACTGAAAGAAGAAAATTACTGTAGGCTTTGCACCCTCCTTCATTTTCAAGTGGAGATGATGGGTGAGCTGTGTTTGGTTGGCCAGAAGACATTCAAGAAGGCAGGAGAGCGCAGAAGTGGTACGTCTGCTCCCAGACAGAGAGTTGGGAAACGGGGTGTCAGTGCTAGCTGGTTTTTTGTTTTGGTTTTGGGTAGGGGGTTTTTTTGTTGTTTTTAAAGCTGAAATCAAGGTTTTTGCGCTCACAAATAATTTTAAGCCAAGTTTCTTTATGAATAAACACGATCGCTAACATATCAGAAAAAAAATAGGCAGAATTCTGTCACCAAAATGTTTCTGCATCATCTTTACATGACATTCCCCACTCATCCCTTCTGTAATTAATTTCAATGTATCTGACATTAGCTTGGAGGCAAGTTTTGAACTTTCTTTACCCATCACCGTGATTTTATTGCTTTTTCCTCAGTTCAGTGGTCATTATACTTGAATTTGGAAACTGGTTGTTGACCAGCTCTTGCTTGCCAGACCCTTTCTAGGCTGGCCTTTGCAATGAACACTGTTGTGAGATAAACCCAGAATAAGAAATGCTAATTCTGTTGTTTTCAGGCTCTTTTTTATTTCTGGTGAGTAATATTTGTATGGTGGTTGGACTTATCACTGCACCTGATGACCACCTGCAGAAATTAAGTCAGAACCAGTTTTGGAGCCTGCGGGGGGGAGGGAGGAATGAGTTGGTTTATTCACAGGGTTTCAGGACGATTTTGTGCTTTGAAGAGATTTGTATAAAGAAGCTCTTTTGTCTCACGCAGTGGGTCTGCTGCAGGTGAGGCCCTTGCTACTGCTGGGATTGAGACTCGGGTAATGGTAGTAGGATGGGCACTCAATCTTCAAAAAATTTTTGCGAGACGCCAAAAATACCGCAAGCATCAGCATCTTAATTGTGCTTCACGTTTTGATACCGCTGCTCAGAGCTGGTGAGATCCTTGTGCTTGAATATTGGAGTTATTTTTAACAGATGCTGTAGAAAGGTTTGCCGCTAGACGGGTTTTCCCTACCTGCCTTGGCTTGTGTCTTTGACAGCCAGTGCAATAGCACTTGTCAATTTTTATTTTCCCCCTGCTACAGAAGAATCCCTGGCACCTGGTCTAGACCGGATCGCCCAAACGCAAAGTTTGCATGTTTTGCATCACCTCTATCCATCCTTTCCTTGCGTGAGTGGTGGTTGAAAGTACCTGCCGAGAAACTTTTGGGCCAGTATGCTTCGTTTTCATACTGTAAAAGGATTAGTGGGTGCCAAGTGGCATCAGAGAACCTTTTGGGGGAAAAATTTGTCGTGTGGCTATTTAGATGTATCAGTCCACTGCAGCTTCCCACCAAGGAAATCCCTAAAACCCTGAGGACCAGAAGCTGAATCAGAGGAGAAATAAGCATTTTATTTCCCGTTGCTTATTCTCTAGCTATAAATGCTTACTAATAGGTGCCACCAAATAAAATTGCTTAGTTTATCAGTAATAACCAGGGGGCTTTTAGATGCTGACTTGAGACTCTTGTAAGCATATTTGCTGCTTATGAGATTGATTTGAGATATTTGGACCCGTTTCTTATCCTTTAATAAAAGGTGCTATCTCATGCTCGGCTAAAACTTGAGGTATTTGAAGGCATTTGGTAGAAAAATCTTAGTTTGTGCCTTTGGAGCTGAAATTAGGAATATTATAGTAGTATATATAGTAGAAAATAGCATTGGTGCTGCTTTTGAAACAGTACTGACTCTGAATTTTTGTGTCTCTTGGGTATCATAAAACTTTGTCTCATACTTCAAACATGGCAGAAAGCACTTGCCTCTGCTTTCTAACGAACACATATTTTTCCTCCAAACTATGCTAATAACTAAAAAATATTTACCCTCAACTTGGTATTAGCATGGAAATTGTAACAGCTCGCTTGCAAGCAGCCTAATTGCTACATAGCGTAGCTAAAGAGCACTGTATATTAAAAGCATATATAGCTTGCTTTGTCTTGAGCTCTGCCTACAGAGGGATTGAAAGTAAGGCTGGTGGATCTGCCAGCTTTCATCTCTCCACCTTGATCTCGGTTGGGTGCCTTTTATGTTAGCTGCGTAATTCAGCGCAGAAGAGCATTTGAGGCAGAAATGGTTAATTCACCGAGCAATATAATGTGAAGACAGTGGTACGGAGTTGTTCCCTAGGAGTTTAAAAATTCATTTTGTTGTTAAATGTCATCTTCTGGCTTGTGATCAGCTGCAGTGTAGGTCATATGTTGTCTGGTAAGTTTGAAGGAAATCACATAAAGGATCCTGAATGCTGAGATCTGTGGAAACAAAGTCTGTTGAAGTCTGACGTTGATGTTTCTGGAGCCACAAAGAGGTGGGGAAAAAAGGAAAAAATGAAATCTGCTTTATTGGTCAAGCAGAGATGTGGTGCTCAAACCCAGCACCTCCTGAGTCGGGAGAATTGCTCTTCCCTTTTCCCCTGCAGCGAAAGCCAGGAGAACATTAACTAGTGCTGGAGAGATGGATTAATGGAGAAGACCTTTCTCTGCTGAAAGGCTTGTGGGAGGTTCTGCAGGGGCCTCACAGCAGTGTTCCTAAGGATCTGCAAGGGGCTTAGGACAAGGAGTACTTTCTGGGACAGGGGAAGGTGAGGTCTGGAGACCTCCATGAACCTTCCCATCCTGAATCCACCTCTACAGGGCTTGGAGCAGAGAAGAGCTACAATGAGGCTCAGTTCCTGCAAGATTTTTCTTTCCTGGTTTATTAACCACCAGCCCCCTTTATAGCAATCATGGACTCCTCCTACATATACTTCCTTTGAAGCACACGTGTGTTAGCTCAGTCCCGCATGAATTTTTGATCAATCAGCAAATGTCACTGCAGCAGCCAAATTCTTTGGATGCTTATTCAGATGTCCAAGCTGGAAGTGCCTGTGAAGAACACCTTAGTATTTGTTTTAGCTCGGTTTCAAGTTAAAGTAATCATCCTGCCTTTTCCTGACTTGAGTTCAGCTCTACAAACGCTATTCCCCTGTGAGGTAAAACTAGGAGGGTGAGATACAAAGACTTCTTCCAGAATTTATCCCCAGCATGTGGGGAATATGTTGATTTATTGATGGAGGCAGTGTGGGGGGAAGCGAATATTCAAATGCGTTAGGATTTCTCCTTCAGCAGTGTTTCCTGCAACGTTCATTTTTATTACAGTGCCTTTTTACACTCTTCCCCTGGACGCAGTTTTCATCTCCCTTTTTCTTTTTTCTTTTCCCTTCTAGTTTGAGCGACACGACCCGGTGGAGGGGCGGATCACGGAGCGGCAGTTCGGCAGCATGCTGCTGGCCTACAGTGGGGTGCAATCCAAAAAGCTCACGGTCATGCTGAAGCAGCTCAAGAAGCACTTCCAAGACGGAGAGGTCAGTGGCATTCACAGCAAATTCAGGAAATTGCGGTGGGGGCAGCTATCCCACACAGTGCTGAGAAATGAGTAATCTCCATCTTCTCGAGAAAAGCACCCGCACCTTGTTAAGCAGGGTGGGGAGATATGCTGACTTTGCAGGTGATAAATACTTTGCCAGCAGCAAGGGGATGGAAGAGGTGGTAGTGCAGCGGTCAGTTCCCGGATTGGGGTGTAGGTTTTGTCCCTATTAAAATGGATGCTGCAATTAAAACAAAACAAAAAAAAAACCTTCTGTTTGCTGAACAGCACGCTGGGTCTGGAGCCAGAATAAATATTGAAGACGTTTTTCTAGTTACTGACTCGACCTTGAATTAATTAGCTGCTGGCACTGGGCAGTTTATTATTTAGTTATGAACTTATGTGAAAAATTATTTTAATTACTGGTGATTTAGAGAGGAACAAGGTTGCAGATCCTACACACTCATTAATTTAGTGAGAGACCTTGAAATAAGACATCCGTACTGAAAGGACGTGCTTTATCAGGTAAGGCAAGTATGGGCCACCAAATTATTTCAGTATTAGAATTTCATGTCTGCTTCTATAAAGATGGATTGTTCTTTTATTAACTAGGTTATAAACAAGCAATTTGCCAAAATGAGAATGGATGGAAAGCTTTTGCCTGTGTGTTGGGTTGGTCTGACTGTTTTAGAGCCACTTTCTCCGAACATCAGAACTGGTGTTTATTTCTTAACTGGTTTAGATGGAAAGTGTGTTATAAAACACAAGTGTTGGCCAGGGTCTAGTCTGGTTTTGTCCCTTTTTGGTGCCTTAACTGGATTCCTGTGATGCACAGGAATTCTCAGTTAATATGAAGCCACTCCAGTTACACTTCCCCGCCCCCCCCAATATTCTCCCTCTTTTGGTAGTTCTGGAGTAGAATTTAGGTGTACTGAAGCAGCGGGGCACGTAGACTAATAGGTCTCTATTAACTGCAAATAATGCCAAAAAAGTTTATAAATGCTCAGAGTTGCGTTGCTGCCAGAGGAACCATGGTATTTGCAGCTTCTCGTGACCCTGAAGTGCCAGAAAAAGCAGGTTTTTTGCAGATTCCCTCATGTTATGAAAGACACTAGGCTCAGTATTTAATAGGCTGTTAGCAATAGATGGTCCCAATGTGTTATTTGAGCTGAGACGCGTCGCTTGTTAGTATTTGGAAATCTCACTCCTCAAGCTCTTTGTTGCTGGCTTAAATAAGACCATTGATGTTTCCAGGGTTGCAGTTTTGTGTCCATTTATTTGATCTTCGAGCAAGACACTGCAGATTTGGCTTTTCCAATACCTCTGCTCCTCTTGAGTTTTAATAGGGATTATTTGATTTTTTTGTGGCAAAAAATGCTTAACTGTGGTGTGTATCTAGCAGAAAATACCAGCTCTGTTGTTACATTCCCAAACTGCCGATTCTTTTGCTGTGATTTGGGGTTTTATATATATATATAAAAAAAATTGAATGGTAGCTGGGTGTATGAGAAATTAGGCAGAGGGAACTTATTTTGGAAGATTTCTTACAGCAGATGTTTCCTTCCTTCCGTGCATAAGCCAAGACCCTGACATCTGTGGCAGAGGAAGAACTTTTTGCTTCTACCTTATTCCTCATCTCCAAATTGGCCAGATTGTGTTTCGAGTTGCAAATAACCGGATTCAGAGCAAGTCTTTTTCTTTATTCCAAGGACTTTCAAGGAGAGAAATTGGGGAATAGCACAAAAAATGATTATTTGCAAGAAACAGAATTGGTGGAAAACACATGATTCCTTAGACTAGGGGGAATGAAACACCCAAAATCCTAAAATGAGATGGCCTCTCTGTTAACAAGTACAAGGTATTTAATGGTTTAGGGAGATGTAAAGGATGCCAGAAGCGCCACCTGCTTTGCACTGGAGGCAGATAAGCCTTTTTAGCAGGCAGAGCAGCTCAAAGTCAATGCTTACGCAGAGCTAGAGAATTCAGGCACTGAAATCCTCCACTTCAGCAGGTTTTAGCTCACACGGAATCCAGCCTCATGCCTAACTTTCCATTGTCTTTCATGCAAGAGAACCTTTTCTTGAAAGTTTGTGGGGTTTTGGTTTTGGTTTTTTCCCCTGGGGTATTTTAGAAGACCATATCCTTTGCAGGTTTGCGTGCAGCACTTTGTATCTAAATACACTTACGTACTTGTATTGCATCACCCTGGTTTTACGTAGCTTAACTTTCCCCATCTCTTAAGCAATAGGTCTGCCGTGACCAGAATTGCGTTAACTGCCTTTCGAGCTTTCTGGATAACTTAGGGATGTGCTTGCAAAGTCGTCTTGTAAATGAACGGAGTATTAAGCCAGAGAACGTTCTCCCACTTGAAACCGCAGAGGCTCGACACCGGCGTTGCTTCTTCCTCTGTGTTCGTGACCCAGGCATTTGCAGAGCAAGCAGCTGCTTCAGTCGGGCTCTGCTTTACTCCCGTCGTGTAAAAAGGGAGCGGAGCCAGTGCTATCCACTGCTCTCCTTTCGGTTCCCTGACCTCGCAGAGACATTAAAGCCACCCAGCTGCTTTATTTAGCCTGTGATACTTTCCAGTCACTGAACGCCTTGTTGATCAGAGCGGTTTTACAATGCAAATGTGTTTTGCAGGAGGAATTTTTCTCCAAATCCCTTTTTTTCAGACTTCACTAGCCTACTTTTATAGCAACCTAGTATCATGATGTGCACAGTTTACTAACCTGTTCTAACTGCCCTCTGTACCAAACTAATAAGGGCTTTGACTTGCTTTCCAAAGAAAGTGGGAGTAAAATGATTTTAATAGTATGATGCTGGGAGGGGATGGCAGTAGTTGTACCAAACCCACCTGGCAAACTTACCTTGGAAATACGATTTACCTTGTGAGTGCTTTTTTAATGAAATCTGCCAAACATTGTCTTTATTGTCTGATGCGATTACTTTTTCTGTGTGAGGCAACGCTGGCAGCCTCCAAAATGTTAAAGCTCTGGTTTTAATCTAACTTTTAGCCTTTTTCCAACACTTATTCTATGTTCCTGCTTTTGGGGACAGCATGTTTTCTTGTATTAATTGATAATCTGAGCTCATTTTTATTTTTCTTAAGGAAAAAAGAGCTGCCACTCTCTACTTTGTTTAAAATTACTTACGATCCTCCCCCTCGGGTTTCACTTACACAGCTGCTTTTCTCCTAGTAAAAATGGACTTGACTTGTCAGTAGTATTTACAAGCAAGGTATTTGGTTTATGTTTCCCTAATAGCTAGAAAACCAAGCTGACTTTTCAAAAATTAGCGATTCAGGTTGAGATGGCAGAGGGTGGGAGCGAGGCGGGATTCTCCCCGGCTAAATCCCAGGCTCCCAGGTGAAAAGCCCTAGCTTTTGCAGAAGGTGTTTGAGCTGTTGTAAGATGCATGTTGCAAGCAGATAGGTGTTTCTGGAGTCTGTCTGCTTATGTATCACGTGTATTACTTAAAAGATTAAAGGAGTCAGGCTTATGAATCGACAGCTAGATTTACAAAAGCCTTGAAAGAAGCAATCGTCCAGATCCCATAATTGCTGCCCTAGTGCTCTCCAGATATGCAATTCCTTGTGATTCCAAATCAACGCAAGCCTTTATTATAAAATGGAAATGTCTGTTAGTGTCTTTCAGTGAAGCCGTGAATAACTTTTGAGGAGCTGGGCAGCACTGACAAACACATCGACGGGGAATAGATAAATTCCCGCACTCAGCCTTCTGCCTGATGAAGGTGATCATTCATCTGTCAACTTGTCGGTGCAATCCGGAGGCTGTCCCAGTCTCTGGTTTTATTTTTGTAGCTGGAAAGGAGCCAGTGCTGATGCCAGCCTCAACTACAGGATTCATCATTAAAATACTAAATTTCGTAATACCGATGGCACTTTTGCTACAGAGGTTCAGTGTCTCTACCAAGGTGAAAGCACAGATTTATAGGGTACCGCTATGATTGCTTATGCTTTTTCAGCTGGCGAAAGGACCACGAGTTTACACCATATAAGCATGTAAACCTTCCCTGTTACCCGCAGAAGCAATAGCAACTGTGCTGTTGGTACTAAATAAGGACATCAATGCTGTTTGGCCTTGACATGTGCCATTTCGTGGTGGAAAATACAAAGTTTAGGGATCTCTGCTTAGAATAGCTGCTGGGATGCCTTGTGGCCACTACTGCAAATGTCAGATGTCCCAGAGCAGATAGATCTTTTCTCCTCTAGATCTGTTGTATAAACCAGAGGAATCTTTGCAGTACTTCCTGCAGAAGTACCTAATTTATTTTAATTTTTTTTTGCTAGGACAGTATTTTATTTAATTCTGCCATGCATCTTTTAGCATATGGCTTGGGAAGTGGAGCAGATACATGTTTAAAGAAAGATCCCTGTATTGGGGATTTTTGTCAGATCCATTATCTCTGTGTGCGTTTTGCTACCTCATCCTTTTTGGTCCGGATCCGTGAATCCAGGGCTGACAAAGCCTGCTGTTGCATTTGTCAGTGTGCATGCTGTGCAACGGTGCAGCAGCGGTGCGTTGCCACGTTCTCGGTTACAGCGGAGATAGGAACAAGCTGAAATACTTCTCAGTAATTTACAAATTTTCTGTAACTCTTCTGCTTCCAACTCTAGATTGAAAGATTTTAAAAAAAAAAAAAAGAAAGAAAAAAAAGTGCTTTTTCTTTTTAAAAAAAAAAGATAGGTAGCTTGTTCCCTAATGAGTGGTTGTTAGGAAGCAGTTGAGCAGGGTTACAATGGATCATATAAATTTATATTTGACAGTACAAGCTGAATGTGTGCTCTTCTATCCAGACCATGAAACCGTGCCGTGTTATGCAGTTGGGATTTTTAGTGCCATGGTATATCAGTCTGTCGTGCTAGACAGGATAGGAGGAGCCTGAACCTGAATGTCTCTTGACGAGCTGATTTATCTCTTCCAGGGAGGAAGGCTGAGTGGTTATGACTGCAGTGATGCTTTACCTCCATAGGCTCGGGGCCGTGGCTGTGGTGGGGGCGTTTGGAGGCTGCAGCTCTTGGCCCAGCACTGATGCAGTCGTGCTGGTGCGAAACGGGTCGATAAAATCAGGTGTTGCATAGCGTAACCGGGTGGGGGTCCCGGAGCTGTGTTCGTCGGCAGTGGCTCTCCCGGCGTGCTCATCACCAGTGGGATCGGCACGGAGGGGAGCATGTCACTTATCCCCTGCCCGCCCGTCGGCGCTGCTGGGATGCAGCAGTGTCGGTGCATGGGGATCGCAGGATGCCTTCCCGTGGCTATCGGGTGCGTGGCTGTAGACGCTGCGCCAGTAAGTAGAGCAGACGGTGATCCAGCTCCTCAGCCGTCCTGCCACCGGCGGCAAAGCTAATTGGGGCACGTGTATATGTGCTGTGGTTTGCAGCTTCTCCTTCTGTGACACTGGGTAAGACACGGATCCCCCCAGGGATCCCCAAATCCGTTGGGAGAGATCGTGCAGTGCATAAACTATTTCTTTATTGCATTTGCGAGTTTGCAGGCCTAAAAAATAGATATTTATAAATGCTCAGGTGCCAAGGTAGAAGTGTTTGGAGTGTGCGGACGAATTCTCCTCTGGCTACAGCTTTGTGCCGATGAGTGACTTTGTTGTTCATAATCCAGGTAGTGTCACCATCTCCTTTTCCCATCACCATAAGACAGTCTTTTCTCTGTCCTAGGGGCTGACGTTTGAGGAGGTGGAGAGCTTCTTCACTTTTCTGAAGAACATAAATGACGTGGACACGGCTTTGAGCTTCTACCACATGGCTGGAGCTTCGCTTGATAAAGGTATTAAAACTGGCGAGACGGACAGGCGCTGAAAGCCTGAGGGAGCGTGACTCATGCTGTGTCTTTGGAGTTGGGAAGATGTGGAACGAGCCCAGGCTAACAGGTTAAAACTGTACTGAAATCGCAGTTCCTCCCTGTAATGAGAGGTTTTAACTTGTTACGTCCACGGATAAAGAGGGATTTCAGGTTTTATACTTCCCCAAGTTTTAGACAGAGGGGGGAAAAAAGGCTGAACTGTATAGCTTGAATAGATTAGGAAGCGGTGATTTCATGGGGACCTATTCATAAGCAGTGATATCTTCAGCAGGGCTATTTAGGCCTGATGCGTGCAGAGGCAAGATGACCTAGTGAGTATGTCACAGGCTCTGGTACCAGGGCCCAGGCACACCAGTGTTTTGTCATCCCCATCTTCTGAAGTGACATTTTCTCTCCTTTTACGAACTACTTGAAAAATTATGGTTGGCAAAGATGCAGCAGCAGAGGCGCTAACCAGCAGTGGAGCTGATGGAAGGAATGTTTCCACCCTTGTTTTGTTTCAACTGTGCGTAAAAATAAGAGCTGTATGGGCAGATGCTGCGTTTCTGATCTGAAGTCCAAGTAATGGGAACCACCTTTGGAGCTCCCTGGTGTGCTGGAAGGAAGGAGGAGGGAGCACTGGAACCCCACTGGGGTCCTGAACTGAGCATTAAAGTCTGTCCAGAGTGCGCTTTCTTCAGATATCCCATAGTCCGGAGGCTGCATGTGGCTGGAGGAGCTGGCTGAATAAACCCCAGAGCTGATGTTTCCTGGGGACCTTGGTAATAGTGTGGTTTATTGATGAGATCAAGCCACCATATCCTTCTTCATCTCATCGCATTTCCTTTTCTGAGCTAATCCTTATCAGGTATGTTCTTAGATCTGACACACTGATTTTAAAAAAAAAAAAAAAAAAGTCCAGCTCTGTCACATGTGCTTTTCTTCTGTAGATCTTTTTTTTAAGAGTTGGGTTTTTTTAAACACTCAAACTGGGGATAAAAAAAAACCCCAATGGCAAACTCATTAAAAGTTTCTTAGGCTAAGTGGAAACTCTTGTCTACTAGAAAGTTAAAGCTGATGCATTTAGGCAGCTGCAAAATTAAATGTTTCAAAAGTAAGCTATTCTTCCAACAGCTGCTGTAGTGGGAGTATTAAGACATTAATAGTTTTTTGGGCAGTGGAATTACAAAGGAAGTCAAACGTGTCGTCTCTTCTTGCCTGTGTCAACAGCCCTCCTCATCTTTGATTTTTTTTGGGGGGGGGGAGGGGGGAAAATTGTCTGTACTGTTTGGTTTGGATCACCATGATCTTAAGACTTTCAGTTAAAAGAACCTGATAGGGTTTTTTTTTTCCATTTAAAAGTAACAAGGAGCAGGAAACACCATGTATGAAATCAGATGTGCTGCTGCTGCCGCACAGAGCCCTTTCTGCAGCGTCCCACGAGGAACTAATAGCCCAGCAAATCCAATTTACTCGGTGTCTACAGTAAATTAGCAATTGCCCAGTCGTGGAGTATGTATTTGTGGAGTATTTGGGTCCGCACGCAGTTGGTAAATCAGTGTGATTGCTGTTTAATTATGTGTGATTAATGAGCTTTTGCTGGAGCCGCAGCCGTTGAGCTGGGAGTCCTTTGCCAGGAGTAAGAAACCTTGGGCAGGCTCGGTGGTGTGCAGGGCACAGCTTCAAACCACTCGTGGGCTCGGCTCTCCCCGGACCCCCATCCCTGCCCGCAGCATCCCAGCTGTCAGGAGAGATTTTCCTGGGCACAGACAGGAGAGGAAGGAGGGTTATCCAGCAAATCCCTTCTTCGCCTGTGTCTGGTAGCTGACACGAATCACCCTTCGTGTCCGTCTGCTGCTCAACCCAGAGATGCTCCTGTGTATGAAAAGAGCATTTTGCTGCGGTCCTAACGAAGGTGCAAAGCAAGCTGCGGTGATAACGCCTGGGTTTTGCAGCAGGGATATGTATGCTCCCAAGCTTAAATTGCCTATGTATTACCCGTTTCCATACGTGTGCATGCCGAGTCTGGATATTGCACCCACAAATCGCGTAAGAAATAAATGGGGTGTATTCTTCCAAAAGCCAAACTCTTACAAGGTTGCTTCTAAAAACCAACAAATGTAAAAATTAGTCATCGTATTGGGGGGGGGGGGGGAAGAGGATAGTTTGTACATCAGATAAATTGCTGCTAACCTAATGTAATTATCATTTTAGAAGTGCTGTTTAAAATCAAAGAGGAAAAAAATGAATGGGATCGCACTAAACAGCCATAGCTTGGCAACCCATTCTGCGTGTTGAATTAAAGCAGCCTCTTCATCTAAAAAGAATCATAAACCTACATTTTAATGACCCATAGAATAACACACAGATGATTTGTTAGTCCATCTTTCAGTTTACCAGAAACATAATAGCCGTCATTCTCTTAAATCATAAGCATTATTTAGAAAACTTTCCCAGCCTGGGCTTACAGCTGGCAGCAGGACAGGAGCCAAATTCATCACTTCTTCCCCTTTCGAGGCAAGGGTGTGAAATGCACTTTTTTTTGGCACCGGCCCGACTTTCCAAGCAGCCATTCTGCTGGCACCGGCACAGAGGCACGGTATAACTCCTTTGTGTTTTAGGGCAAGGCACAGACACGCTTCGCTAGAGATGGGCAAGGGGAGATGGCCGAGCCCGCTGCTCGCTTGGCCAGCTCGGAAGATCGTTTTGTTTGAAGTATGGAGCTTGAAACGGCTGCAGGCTTGACAGGGAATTTGGAAGGAGGTAGAGGTGAGTTTTGAGTGCAGGATGTATTTGTCGTCGAATTGCTGCTAGTTTTAATCTGCCCTCAGATCTGGATGAAAGAAGTCAGTCCCGCACGGAGGCACAGCTCAGATGATTCTTCTGGAGTTATGGCACGTAGTTAACACTGGTAGTTGGATGGTGAGGACTTCTGCAGGGTAGGGGAGGTTGGCAGGGATCTCTAGAGGCCCTCCAGTCCAACAGGGTCACCTACAGTCAGGTTTTGGATGTCTCCAAGGATGCAGATGCCACAGCCTCTCTGGGCACATAAGAAAGCCTGGACGAGTATTTGTGATAGTTTGTGAGAAGGAGAAGAGTCGAGCGATCAAATCTGGTGTCCTGCAGAGGCAAGTCAGGGTTGTGCCTTGTCACCTTTGCTGCCCTCGCACCAGTCCGATGACGTGCGTGTGTGCGTCCATCCTGATGGAGAAGGGATAGTGGAAGCACTTGGCACAGTGTCGTCAAGCAGGAGGGGTCTGGAGCACAATTATTACCATGCGGTGTTTGCTGAGCAGTGATGTAACAAGTTGTTGGGTAAAGCTCCGACACAGCAGCGGATGCCTGGCCAGAAGGCTTCAAGAAATCATCTCGGTAACCCTGAGGAGAAGCTCTCCATAGATCAACAGCCCCTAGAAGATGCTGAACACCTTTCAGTTTTGAAACCACTTCCTGTGCTGGAATCTCCTTTCTTGTTTATGATTGCAAATATTACATAAACAGTGGATTGGCTCTGCCTTTGGTCTGGTAGCTCCGCTTTTTCCCCAGAAGCATGATCTTTGTGACTTTCCGTCATGCTCCCTTTGATGTCAAAACAGTTTCTACTCAGCGGCAGGGCTGTAGCCTCGCATTTTGAGAAGAAAAAGAAAAATGTGCTGTGTCACAGGATTGCGTGGGTTTGTACATCTCTCTTCCGGATGGATATTTCGGTACGTAAACGTGGAAATGATTTGAGACAAGTTAAATAAATTTTTGCTAGCTATACTGTCAATGATGGCATCCAACCTTTCCAACTGGGATGCTTGAAATGAAACGTGCGTATCAACATGAGACCTTACGTAGCCTGATTTCTGAGAGCCCAAAATACACATGTCCTGCCTCTGCAGCCTGGGACACGAAGGCAGCAGCCCAGCTGCCCATTATTTTGGCCAAATGTGTGATTAATCTCAAGATGGAGGGAAAAAAAAAGTGAAGTTTGCCATCTGGCTAGGCTCTTGCCCATAGAAAAGCCCTGTTTGTGAGTGCTCGGTGAGGTGTTACTCATGGTGCAGTCCTGGGAATTGGAGTAAAAAGAAAAATAACAGTGTCAGACACTAAACTTGCATGAAATAACTCAGATGGCTCATTAAAGAAACCTGTGGGAGATGCTAATACTTGGAATTTTAAAAGCCGTGGCGCTTTTCAAGCTAGAAGCATGGAACTCATTTTCGGTGGTATAAAATCCAGGAGACTTTCCCGTGTAGAGATAGATGCAGCCATCCCAAACCCCCAAATCTGGACAAGCTTTGTTTTAGGAGATGTTTCCCCAGCCAGCACCTATTTCCTTTTGTGAAATGGTGAAAAAATGACGCTGGGAGGTTTACTTCAATTTTATTTACCTCACCGAGATACCTTGTAGTCTGGAGTGCGTGCGTCAAAGTGGAAAGCAGAGATGCTTTCCCCTTCCTTTATGACTCCTTAAAAACCAACAAAATCGTTCCTGGGCACAGCACAGCCACGCAGCCCCTGTGAAATAAGATTTCTGCAGAATTTTTGCATTGAGCAAGAACAACGTCATGGAGGTGATGCTCATGCCGTTGGATGAATAAGAGAGGAAGCAGTAACTGGTGGCCATAAGTACAAATTACAGCTGGTAAGACTGTGGCCGTGAAAAATAAATGAGCACACGTCGAAGAGGGAGGGATCAGGTGACACTTTAGAGATGGAAGGAGGAAGGTGAAAATTCAGCAGAAAAACATGACTTTTAATTAAAGAAATCATTCTAACTTTTTATTTGCTATAGCCTTATATGGGGAAAAAAATTCTTCAGTAGGGTACCTGAGGCACCAGGAGGAGAGGATGGTGTCAAAGCTTGGTTGAGCACCTTTAAAGAAGATTTACGCATAAAAGGAGTTAAATGAAATTCGGTGTCGCTGTCTGAGGAAATAGAGATTTGCTTTTGCTGTCTGAACGTCTGGGTCTTGGCTAAGAGATGGCTTACCTCTGCTGCTGCCAAAGTTGAGGTGTTTTCAAGTGCCTCCTCAGCAGAAGGACTTTCTGGGGAAAAATAAGCTGAGAAATAAGTTTAGACAAACTCTTTTACCTAAACCTCTTCTTTTTCCTTGAGCTTTACATGTCACTGAAGTCCCTGAGCAGCGTGCGTGGCAGGTGGGAGTTACAGCGTGTGTTTTGCAGCTGGCTGGAGCCAGGACTGTATTTAGGGATGAGCGTCGCCTAATTGGGGAGGAGAAAGGCACCTTTTACAAAGTCATATATAAAATCCAGAGGCAGGGTGTTTATGCTGGTAAAAAGGACTGTGCCATCCACCGCTCGGCTCTGGCGTTTGATCAAAAAAGACCTATAAATACTGCATTATACCTGCGCAATTTATAGTCGCCCCCTCCTCTGGTTTGGGGTACGTGTGATGCTGGCCATCAGTCCCTCCCTCTTGGATCAAGGGGGGGAAGCTGAAGGCAGCTTTGTCATTTAATTTGTGAGCGTTTGATGTCAGTGTGAGCTAATGAAATGCTGGGCCGTTAAAGCCGTTTTTGGGAGGGCTGCTGCCATCTCACGCGCCTGCTCGCTTGTGTTGCGCTTCGTTCATTCGATTGTGTTGCGTCTTGCTGGCTGATTTGCGTGTGTTCAGAAGAAGAGAGCTGAAAGGAAAAGGGGTGCACGGATGTGGTGGCTGTCCCCACGCTTAAAATGTGAATTCCCTGTTTCCCTTGCTATCCAGGTTTTCTTGAGAGCTGTGCCACCGTATGTTCTGCAGCCTGGTTGGCGTGGGTGGGCTGGGAGAGACGTGGGGTCTCCCCACAGCCCGTTTGGCAAGGTTTGGGTGTAAGGCTTAGGAAATAAAATTAATTCAAGTTTTCTTTAATGATTACGTTGCCTCTGCCCTCCCCAAAGCAGGCTCCGGCTGCCAGCAGGACTCGCACGGAAGCAGCAGCCGTATCCTAGAACTGAAATACAGAGTAATAACTGCAGACCAGAACTACATCTTTCATGTAGGAAAGGATTTTAACTCAAAAAGAATAATTACAGGGAAACAGCGGGTACCTAGTTGAGATTATATGTATTTTAATCCACCTTCTGTTTAATTTCAGTTTTTTCCTGCGTTATTTAGTAAAAGGAGGGATTTTTACAAGGGAAAAGGACCCGACGGTGGCTGTGGATTCCTCCCTGGAAACCCCAGACCTCACTCAGGGGAGCAGAAATGATTTGGAAGGAACCAATAATCTGAACATTCATGAAGGAAAAAAATCCTATTAGAAACACTTCATACAGTCTCTAATTAATCCAGTTATGGTATAGATTGGGTGCTTGTTTTTTATTTTTTCCTTTCTGACACATAACTCGTCAAAATTTCTGAAGGGCCAATGGCTCTGCAAAGGGACCAGAGTGCACGAACCCAGCAGGATGCTGTGGATGAAAGCAGAGCCTCTTCTTTTGCTTTGTTTCAGTCTGATTTTTGTGTCGTGCCACTTCCCTCTTTTTGCCTTGCTGAAGGGGAGAGCTCATCCCAGTTGCTGTGGGCTCACCGCCGCTGTGCAAAGTCTCTCCAAACAGGCTTTCCTCGGGTCAGACTTTGTAGGGAAGCAATTTAACTTAAAATACGCTCACGTTCATGCAAAGCCCTTCCGTTTTCCTAGTATCAGGAAGGGAGCAGGGTGTTTCAGCCCTGATAAATGGTGACAACTGAGCTGCTCTTACCTCCCCTCCTTCCTTCAAGTAGCAGCCATCAAAGGGAGACCAGAGGGCAGCCAGACGCACACGAATACATGGAGGGAAACAGCTAAACCAGCCCAGTGAGGGATTTTTTTTTTTTTCCCCTTTATGCAGCAAAATCTACTGCATAACCTTGCCAGATTGATAGCTCCGCGGATTGCTCTTTTCGAGAGGCGTGAATAAAACTACCGCTCGCTTCTTTGCTGATGAGCTCAGCTGCCAGTCTGGGGAGGGGGAAGTGAAATAATTCGTTACAACTCTTTTATTTTATTGCAAGGTTCAGCTTGTCTGCTCGCTGCAGAGCCTGTCGTGGGGAGAGGGTGGATGGGTTGGTTCTGCAATTATTGGCCCGGGGTTGCTCAACAGGAAAACCATTTTTTATTATTCCCAGCCTGTTGGAATAGTTGGTTCATAGAATATCATCTTTGCAACGCAGTCAGAAGGAGCTGCCTCATGGATCAAGCCTGTCAGGAGGGTTTTCCACCTGGTGCTGGCACTTCTTCTGATTTTGTAATCAAAGTTGGGGGGAAAACGTCTCATCTCAGTGTTTTTAATGTTTATCTTGAACACAGAGGTGTCGGCACATTGGTGCTCACCAGCAGCCTTTCCGCACCCCCTGTGGTGTTGCACGAGGAAGGCGAAGGCTTTGAGGAGCCTGGGTTTGAGGCATGTCTTGAACGGGCCGGGGATGAAGCTTATTTCAAACCTCTTTGAACACAACACGTTTTCATAAAAGCAGTTTTCCGTGGAGAAACAAGAGTCTTTCGCCCCTCTGCCCGCGTTCGCTGCGACTGGCAGATCGCATCTCGCTAACCTCGTGCCCTCCCTCCCGTTGCAGTGACGATGCAGCAAGTGGCCAGGACGGTGGCCAAGGTGGAGCTCTCCGACCACGTGTGCGACGTGGTGTTCGCGCTCTTCGACTGCGACGGTGAGTGACCCCAACCTCGAAATGCCAGCCACAAAAGTTTTGCCGTGGCCTTGGCTCTTCTCGCCGTGCTACCGTCCTCTATTTGCCCGTGGATCCGTACTGATGCTCCTGTCAGGGTATCTGATGGTGCCCAGCTGCCGAGATGTTGATCTTAAAGCACTGGATGCGGTTGGCACGCACAGCTTGCTACACAGCTTTTGGTTTTTTTTTTCTTTCCCCCCCTACAAAACTCTATTTTGTTTAACAAAATGAGCTATTGTGTTCCTGTGATGGAAACGAGCCTATCTGGTACTTTGTTATCTCCAAAGTCCTAGACAAATATCCACTTAATTAATTAATGGCAGCTCTGTGCTCTGCTGGGAAGCTCGTTGCTTTGCTGGCCCGTAGAGGATGCAAGCGCTTTGGGGTAGCTCATTGCCACGCTGAAGCAGTCTCGGGTTGATTTAATGAGAATTAGCGGAGTCTTTGCCACCAGGGAATGATGGCAGCAATTCAGGCTCAGAAAGTAGCAAAATTCTGCAATTGCCCAAAACTGTCGAGCCAAAACCAAAGACCTCGCTGGTGCCCTGCTTCTCCGTCAGTCACTAGGGTCTGGCAGCTCCGAGCAGCAGCAGCGACACATAAATAGACAGTTGTTTGCTTTCTGATATAAATATGAACATTAAAAGAAAAAAAATCTTTTTATTCTTTGTTGTCCCTCTTGGTTTCAGCCCCACCTGCTTCCTTGACGCTTTGTAAGGTTGCATCTCTGTTTTATTTTTCTCGGTGCTTCAGTGCCACTTCCCGATACGATCCTCAAAGCCAGACGAATCAGGCTGGAGATCAGAGTGAACCCAAGCGTTAGCAGAATATTCTCCATTTGCATCCTCTCGTAGGAGAATCTGCTAAATATTTTGATAGCAAACCTTTGGGGGAAAAGACAGAAGCAAGTGGAAAAGCAGGTAGAGACCTCTGGGGGTTTTGTGGTTTTGCTCTGTTGGTGCTTATTACAGACATTACCACGCACGCATCAAAAACCTGCAGCACCGCAGGGAATTTTTTTTTTTACTTTTTTTTGGCCCCTTGATATTTTGCTAGAATTTGGCTGCCTGGATTTGCATTCAGATGTAAGGCAGGGAAAAAAACGCTCTCAAATGAAGAAACTCGTATGTGAAATACAACGATGTGGTTCCCCGTATCAGCCGGAGAGATTCTCTCTCCTTTCACCTGGCGAAACGGTGGCACTGGCGGGTTTGTTTCTTGAGGGCTGACATATTTCTGCTGTGCCCAAAGGTGGGTTGCTTGCTGCTCCCCAGAAGCTAAAATCAGCGCTGTCAGCTGGGCACCATCAGCTGGGGAGCAAAACAGGCAGCGTGATGCACGCGGCATCGCGGCAGAAGGCATCAGCCCCTCGGCAGACAGGCGTCAGGCTGCCGGTCGTGCCGTGGCTTCCTGCTGTCCCCTCCGATCTACCAGTGCCCTAAATAAAAATCCCAGAGGTTTTATTGCTTGTTAAGCAACTATGGAATAAAATTTGCCCCGATTTACTATAATCTTATTTTTAACAGCCATTCACCTGATGTAATTCTTAATAACCTCATTAGCTTACTTTAATGAATCTTCCTTTCTACTCCATTAAGAAAAATCTGTGCTCTGTTACCCTGTGTTCCCATAATTTCCTAAATCACTTAAAGCTGAGAGTTGTCTGTGGGTGCATGGGCATTTGCTTTTCCATCTTCAAGCCCCAAGCCCTGCGAGCCGCGGCGGTGCCGTGCTGTGCCGGGCAGCCTCCGTAGGGATGGGATTTAAATATTCCGATTTGGCAACTCTTGCTCAGTGCGGTGTTTTGGGAGGTTGAAGCTGAACGTGATTTCAGTCTCCGCAAGAAATGACGCTTGCGGCTGCTGCCCTCTGAAGTTCGTGCACGTGGAAAGGAGGTTTTAGTGGGTTTTAGTGTTTCTGACGTATTTTTTTTTCTCCTTCTCCCAGGGAACGGCGAGCTGAGCAACAAGGAGTTTGTTGCCATAATGAAGCAGCGCCTTATGAGAGGTTTGGAGAAACCCAAGGACATGGGCTTCACGCGCCTCATGCGAGCGATGTGGAAATGCGCCCAGGAGACGGCGTGGGACTTCACCATGCCCAAGCAGTAGCCGAGTCGGGGAGGAGC